TCTCTCTCTCTGTGTGTGTGTGTGTGTGTGTAAGCTTTGGATAGCACAGAGAAGAATGTGATGTTTGTTTTTACTTTCTGTCCCTGAGATAATTGGATTTTGAAAAAATTGTTATGGAGACAAGGATTGGTCAGAAACTTCAGTAGAGACAGCTTTTCACCATGATAACTCTTTCACGAATGATTTTCCCTTCCTAGGAGTAGATTTCTCTCACTTCCTCTCGTCTCACCCCATGAGTCATTTGTAAGTTGGATGTTTGTAATTTGGGGACTGCCTGTACATTTTATATGGTAATTTACAGCACATGACTGCCCAGAAGATGCCTTCTTTCAGATTAAGGGGAATAGAATGAGTTGCAGACCAATCACCTCATTATACTTTGATATGGGTCATGGGGAATCTAGTGCCCTGTGTCCCACATCGCTCAGATCCAAGGGAGTGTGATCACTTAGGGGGAAGTGTAAGAATGCATGGTGCATGTGGCTACTCCCAATAAACTGTATCACAACATGGGAGCTCTCTGTGTTACTCTTTTGGTGGCATGTGCCGGCTCCGCCCTGCTTCACCCACAGAGCTGGTATCATGTCCTGTGATGGGTACCGGCCAACTCTGTGGGTGACTTAGGCTAAAATTGGTGCATGCTACTGATTTTAGTCCAATGTGATGAGGTTGTTAGTGAATACAAGATGCAAACTAACTTTCATTTTTTTATTATTTTGTGAAACATCTAGTACATATTCCAATGGGACAGGACTAAATCCCACTGCTAGCTTCAACTAGAGTAGACCCATTGAATCAATAGGAGTTTAGTAAGTCAAACATTGTGTATAACCCATATTTGACCACAACTCTGTCATCTATTTTTCATCAGGTAATTTTTAAATAATTATAGTAACCATGTACCATATCATATTATATTGATCATATAATTTCTGAACATATGACTCACACAATATGTTTGTGTGCATATGCAAACATACCCTGTACATTTTAAAATCTAGGTAAAAGGTTAAATAAAAAGCTTGCATAAAAGTAATTATGGTTCAGAAAAGTTTTGAAAAGTGTAGGAGGGGAATCTGATCGCCCATGTTTATTCCTTTACAAGGCCATGCAACACCCCATCTTAGTTTGTGCTTTTGCAATTTCTCACTTTCCATTTAATACCCTGAATGTGTGAATTTGAATGAAATTCAAATTTCACAGATGCTGTTCAGGTTTGGGTGTCTCACACTTGCCCTCCACATCATCATTCAGACTTCATATTTCCTTTTTGAAATTTAGAATTCATTGCTGGGATTTGCTACTTTTTAAGTCAGTTGGGATCCAAATTCTAAAGCAGAGTTGAACAAAAAATTCTTGTTTGTTTTGCTAGTTTGTTAAGCAACATTAAGCTGAAGTTTCCAATTTATGATACAATAAGAAATTTTCATTTAAAGCAAGCTTGGATTATTTTATTAAGACAATGCTGAAGAAAAAGAGTAAATTTTTAAAGAAAAACCTTGAAGCTTTGATGTCAATTTCTAACCTCATAAAATCTGAATATATGTTACAGTTAGTTTGAGCTGGCTGCAAACAATCTTCATACTTCTGAGGCTCTCCAAAATGTTCCTTGCATTTGGAAAACTAGAACTGTCAGCCTAAGTATATACCATAGGTTTACCTTTTTGTAGCCATTTACTTGTGATCTTTCACTAGCATCTCCAGAAAACTGTATGTGTTTGTCTCTGTGGTATATTTGACAGGTCTTTTTTAAATGAAAAAAGATTGTAAGTTTGTAGTTCTAAGTTTGCAGGGCTTTTCTATATGGACCAAATTATACAGGGGTGGGGGGTGACTTGTGTCTGTGGCATCCACATGACACATGGAGCCAATTCACATTGTATAGTGAGTAAGACTACTTAACGTGGTCTTGCCTTGCATTAGTTAAAATTGGGAATGTCCCAGAGCAGGGGTCCTCAAACTTTTAAAACAGAGGGACAGTTCACAGTCCCTCAGACTGTTGTGGGGCCGGACTATAGTTTGAAAAAAAAACCCACATGAACAAATTCCTATGTACACTGCACATAACTTATTTGTAATGGGGGAAAACATGCAAAAATGGACAAGAGAGCCCGCAGAAGCTCCCAATGCCCAATTGAAAGTGCCTTTGCCCATATCTCCGTCACCACTGTCAGCCACTAGGAAGCCAGGATTGTTGATATGCTATTTGGCCTCACTTATTCCCTCCCATGGAGTCCATCTCCCCAGTCTGCTTGTCATTGTCCTCAGCCAATAGGACATGTGGCTCAGAGCCCATGCATCCTTCCTAGAGTTTTCCCCAAACTCTGAAGTGCCAAAGCTTCCCCACATGTGTAAACAGTGGGCTGGTTTCTAATCAGGGTTAGCACTTATCATCATCCTTTTACCATGATAGCAAAATTTCTCCTGTACACTGCTCGTCATCAATACTCACACTTGCCAAAATGTCAGTGCAACTCAGAGAGGTGACGGGGAAAGGAGGGGGTGATCCCTCCCTTCCCCCCTTCTCTCTCTCAATTGCACTGGTGCTTTTGCAAATGTCAATGTGACCAAAATCAACTTGATACTTTGTGGTCATCACTATGATGGTAGCAAGGTGGTGATGATAAGGGTGGCTGTCCAGTGGCACTGAACTGGGATTGGTACTGGTATACGGTGTAGACTAACTCCTACCACTGCTGCGGCATGGAGCATGGCCATGCCAACACTTTCCCATTGCCACAGGAGCTCAGAGACTGGCTGTGTGGACTCCCCAGGAGTATCCCACCTTGAATCAGCCCTGAGATAGGTGGCCCATGTAGATATACCCTAATCTCTTTATTCAGGTACATTTCAGCAATCTTTCTTTTAAAATGAGAATATATGTATTATTCCCACTAAATTATAGTCAGCTGATTATATAGGAAAGCAGTTGATCAATAGAACTCCCTGTTCTGCAGAGGAAGTAAAATATAGGAAGTGGCTTCCAATGATATTAAAGTATCTTAAACATACCAGGATTGATTTTTTCCCCTATGAAATATATTGAAATAGAAGGGAGAAACTGTGCAAAGTTTGCAACTATGTCTCTTGGTAACCGAGATGAGAATTCTATGCATATGCAGAAATTTAAATTCACCAATAACATAGTGAATCAAACACAAAATAAATTTTAAAAGATTCTTCTAATAACAATACACAACAGAAGACATAAAACAAGTCTAGATTTCTTGGAAGGCTAAATGAGAAATAAGGTCAGAATGTTTAATTATAACCCAATCAACCTTTTCTGAACAGCATGTCAGTTCAACTTTTAAGAAGCAAATGAAACATTTCTTTGTTTTTCAAGCACAGGCTTTTAAGACAGGAGGTGTTCTATCATTATATTAAGAGGATAAAAATGGATTGTTTGATCTTCTGAATTTTAATGTCTTGAAAAGATTATTGGAAAGAAAATTGCATTCTCTGAAGTGACAGAAGCATTATTCAGATAGCTTTAATTACATGATAGATTTTTTCCCTTAATACATTAATAATGGGTGCATATTCCAATTTGGTTTGTAACAGAGTGGCTTTAAAGATTTGAGAAATTATAAAAATATATTATCATGGGTTTCACACTTAAATTCCCATGAGCTTTTAATTACTTATGATTATGGGACATTGTGTACTGTGCTGGGCATTTTCTTTTTCTACTGTACTCTAGGTATTTAAGTATGATAATCTCAATTGCTGTAAAAATTTGGAACACTGTATTTCAAATCTCCTAAGATCCAACTGTGTGCCTTGGGATGAAGGATTTTTGGGTGTACATTTTGTTAATAAAAAAGCACAAATAATAATTGCTACATTTCAAAATATAGTGCAAAGAATCAGCACAAAGAGGCATGTATATCTAACACAATTGTATCAGAACAATTTGAATTTCCCATTTCATTTCAGAGAAAGTTGCTTTTAAGGGTGTTTCATTATGAAGGCAACACAATTTTTTAAATAAGTAGACATGTTTGCATGTTTTAACCATTATTTGGGTAAGGTTTTGGATGGAAAAACAACAGTAATGCAAATATCACACCGTATGCTGCCAGCATAAGATTCAAGAATCAATGAATTGCATCTTTTAAGATTTCAGACTGTCTTCTCCAATGATGTTGGCAATGATGTTACAATTTTGTTAATCTGAAAAAGATACCACTTCATCAATAAAATAAACTTATTGCTTGTTAGATTACATTATACCTTGGAAATGCATGTAGATTTAATATTGTCCATTAATCAGCTAATAATTCTCTGGAGCCAGGAATGTAATGAAGGCAGAAAGATGGTAAGACTATTTGGTACAAAGTGTTTTGACCAACTCAAATATACTTGTGCAGCACCCAGTGTGCTTTCAGTTTCTTTATGTGAAGCCTTTCTAATCTAGAAGTTGAACCTAAGTATGCATTTAAGGTTCACTTTAATATACAAATTCTATTAGACTTCTTTCTAGCTGTTGTTTTATTAAACTTACGCAACTCTATTAACACATTTATTTTTAACAGTTTTCTTTCCATAATAGTTATCTAAAAGCCTTTATGGAAAGTGTTAATTAATTTTAAACTATAATTACATTCTTGTTAATGATGCTATTTCAATAGCCATCTTTCTTTATGTCTGTATCAACATACCTAAGAGACACACAAAGTTATATTTATTGTGGAGTCTGAGTGACATTGAATCCCTTACTGTGAATTCTTGCTTGCACCTGCTGGCACCATGTCGTTCCTGATTATATTTATTGTGTGAATTCATTAATGAAAGTGAAGGTCTCTATTACTGATATTTTTCTTGTAATGCTTCTTGTCATGTGTATAATGAAGTTGTACTGTGAACACTTTCTTTCTCTGTTTTCTATTTAACTTTTTCTCCTTCTTTCTGTTTTTTTTCTTTGCAGCAAATTTGCTGGACAGCCTTTCTGCTCAATGCTTGTTAAACATGTTCTTTTTTTCTGTCAATTACCACAGGTTTAGTCCCTATGAGTGGTATAACCCACACCCTTGCAACCCCGACTCAGACGTGGTGGAAAACAATTTTACCTTGCTAAATAGTTTCTGGTTTGGAGTTGGAGCTCTCATGCAGCAAGGTATACGATTCAGCCTGCTCTTTCTCTTGGGTGCTATGTCCCACTTTTTGCTGGGGGTAACAGTTCTCTCTCTTTCTCTGGCACAGACTGCTTGCATGGGTGCCTCTGTGCATGTAACCATAAACCAGCTTTTTTCTTTTAACATTAATACATCCAGACATTCTTGAATTTCACTTTCCCAAAAGAGTACCCAAGAAATAAATATAAACCCAAACATCAATATTCCTAGACATTTCTATCTCAACCCAAAATGCAGGTACATACTAGCTCAGACAGTGCAAGAACTGAAAGCATGAGCAAGTCCTCTCTCTGTTCTTGTCTACTTGTGATGTAGACTTCCATGTTTTGTACTTAGTGCTACAACAATAATGTCATTTATTGCATGGTTAATAAATGCCATCCCAGTTTGCTATAATTGTTGCAGATTCTTTAAAATTGTCTGAGATTCTTTAAAATTAGGAATACTCAGTGACCATCTGCACTAAACAGCACAACTATTTCTGATGAAGTGCATGCTGCACAGTGCATGCAAAGGCAGTTGTTAATTACAATATCATTTTTAAGTTGATAAAATTATAGGTATGCTAATTAGACCATAATCAATCATTTTAAAAAAGATATCTTTAAAGTATACAGTGCACACCTTTTCATCTATTATGCTCATATCACCTATGTTGTTTTCCAATATGATCAATATAAGCAGCAAACCTAAGCCGTGCAGTATATGGTAAATAGGGTTTATTTTGAATTATGTTGGGGTTTTGTTCTCTTTTTTTGCAGCATAGAATATTTGTCTTGGATTTGGGTGCAGCTCTCTCCATGCCTATTTAAACATTAGCCCAAATTAATTAAATTAAATTTACTTCCATAGAAGTGCGTTTACTTTGCAAATGATTCCTTAAAAAGCATTAATTAGGAATGGAAAATTATTAGAAATATTATTTCCCCAAATCTTCAAAAGTGAGTGTTTATAATGTTGAGAAAAATCTTGAACTCATAATTTTTGCAGTTCAGGAATCCTTTTGCACAAAATTTGCACTTGGTTGTTTTGTGCTGGCAATAGTGACTGAGATCCTGCATCTTAAATTCAGCTATGAATGACCTATGGAATCTGTTCCCCCATTCATACTGACCCATGGAAATGTGTGGCATAATTGAATGGGGAACTACTGAATGACACAGCCATTCACTTCCTGGCACCGAGTCAAGATGGAACAAGGAGAAGCATCATGTCTTCTTGTGATAGTACATCTCAAGACAGGAGGTTGGCTGTATCATCCTGTAGTGCCTCACTAGACAGAAACCTCTCTACCTTGGAATGCCCTCCTAGATTTTAAAGTGGATTATGAGACCCATTTAATATCATGGCAATACTGCCATAATCATATGTAGGTGATTACAGAGAACTCATCCTATATACTTAAGTATATGGTCTAGAAATATTGGTCAAAACAGCAACCCCAAAAGTCTGAATCAACTTATCCATGGGTCAGTTTGACTACTGTACCTTAATGCTTATTTTAAAAGTAAAGGTGAGAGCTTAGTCCATTCCGGGAAAACCTAAAAGAAGCAGTTAACTGCAACACCACTTCTAGCCTTTTTAAATGCCTGAGTGGGGAAATTGTTGCAGCAGTGACCGGGGTGGCGGATCCCTGTGGTGGCATTAGTGCCTATTTTACATATTATATAGACACCACTAATTAACTGTTATAAATAATGGACATGGCCCAGTACTTTTAAGCCCCTTTTATTTAAATGCCAAAGGACTAAGCTTATCCTAAACATGTCAAATCAAATAATCAATTAAAAAGCATATTTTTGGCTATATCAGTGCCCTGTGTTGTTTTCAAAGTACATTCTTACAATTACTTAAATTAAAATGACACATCTATCGGTATCCTATTCTGAAGGCATCCTGGAGTAAATTCTCAACAGAAATTATTGCAGGATGCAAATTTCACACTATATAATATCTTATATAATATAAAATCTCATGTCATGCTTACATAAATAAATCTAAGTAAAATCATTACCAAATCATAGGATCATCTGGAAATTATATTTCTAGATAGGACCACAGTGGAAGTGATTCCTGTATATGTGTAATTCCATGTTATTATCATCTCAAAATGTAATTGCTTCCAGTTATTTTACATTGGAGATAATAATAATAATAATAATAACAATACTTTATTTATATTCCACCCTAGCTCCTGGTGGGGACTCAGGATGGTTTCCAACAAGCAATGGCAAACATTCAATGCCATATTAATAAAATCATTGCCATGAACATTAAACAATGATATTACAAAAAATAAATTTCCACACCCAAACATTAAAAAGATGAAAACTTAGAATTAAAACTATTAACAATATAAAATTTAAAAGCCCACCTACTCAGTATAGCAAGCTAATTTCATTCCGTAGTATTTGTGCTCCAAGTTCTATACATCCTGCTCTCAATATGCCTGAGAACATAAAAGATCAAATGGCAGATAGATTTTACGTCAAAGAAAGGATAACTATAATCCTAAAATAGAAAATGTTTTTACTCATTCTTAAAATCCAAGAGATTATGAAGTTTTGTCTCTTCTAAATTAATGCTCACTTCATTTCCTCTAGAAAGCCCCAAATGGGTAAATTTGTCATTATAGATGTAATGCCTAACCATGATGTGGTTCTGTGTTACTGAAGCCCATGCTTATGCATCTTCTTTCTTCCCTACTTCCGTTATATGTTCTGATTTCATAAATCAGTTACCATTTAGTGGCATGGTACAGTATGTCAATTGCATTCAAAATGGATAAACTATGGCATGCACAAAAAAGCATGCCTGCAAATGAAGATTGCAAACTTAGTTCTAACAAAAAGAGGGTAAGGTTTACATATGAGCAGGAGCCTTCTTTCTGGCATATCAATGCTTTAATATCATGTTAACCAAACCATTGTGTACAAACAGAGTATTTTAGCTTTTCTATTAATAGAAATAGGATTTAGTACCCCATTCTTCAAGGCCTTTGTCAATGCAACTTGCCTGCAGAATTCATTTAATAGAAAGGTCAGTGTTTCATCACATCAACAGGTAGTGCTTCTGATTTTAATCACCCTATTTAGTGGTCTAAATAAGGACTCAAAGAGCATCTTTAAGCTTGCCTTAATAGGTCTTTATGTTGTGTTGTGCTGTATCAGTGACAGACTGATTTACAAATGCCTCACAGCATTAAAACACGTTTCTTTTGTCTACTTGGGATATTAGGTGCTATATGAAAAAAGAAACACTCCATCATCTTGGATATCTTTATGGCAATGTTTCCTAAAGTTGAGTCTTTCAGGTGTTTTGGACTTCAGCTCCCAGAATTTCTGATCATTGGCCAGGGTAGATGAGGTTTTTGGAAATTGAAGTCCAGAATACCTGGTGGATGAGATTTTGGAAAACACTATTGTAAAGCATTGAAGTACATGGCCTTATCTGAAAATAAGTGGTACCCCTTACCCCAGTCCTCATGGATGTTCTTGCCATCTTGCCCAACATATGATAAAATATGTAACATGTTGAGAAACATCACTTTTGTCCATCGTTTTTATTACCTGGCCAACAGTTTTTTTAAGGAGAGAAGATGCATTTTTTCAGGGCAGAAGTTATGTTTCTTAAAAAACAACAATATTGAGTTGTACATGAAAGTTACCTCTACACAGATCCCACAAATTATAATAATTACTGATCCACACTAATACTCCATCATTGCCATAGTTTCCCTCAAAACATTTCCTTGAATGCTGGAGGCTACATGATAGAGGAAATTCATCCATTCCTTGCCTGAGTCCCTTTGCTCCCAGGAAATTGTGGGATATAGTGCTGGACATGACGTTACCTTGGGTACATGACAGTCAGCCCCTAACCAGGCTCTGTTTTACAGGCTTTGGTGGCACACTCTTTTAAACCTTGGGTAAGCTATGAACTTGTGGTAATTGGGGCAACTTTGGAAAACATTTCTTCTACTGTTCTTTTCTTCCAAGTCTTGTTTGACTTTCCTAAGTGTGGATTTTTAAGGAAACAGTGAAAGTTGTTGGGCTTATTTGGCGGTATTAGTGTTTATAGTGTCTTAAATGTCTGACTGGCAGGGCCTAGGAGCGACTACATCAGAAAGGTACTTTTCTACTTTTTTCCTTGCAGAATTCTAGGCAAAGTCTGGCGCTGGAGTTGGCTGTCATGTCCAAGTCTGTCAGCTTTTTTTGTTTGAAACAGCCAGGGTAAGATGAACTGCAGGGTAAGATGGGCTGTTTTGGATCAGATAGTCCAGTTATGATACCACTTCTTTTTGTTTTCTGTTCTTTTCTTTCTTTTGTTTTCAGTTTTCTGTTCTATAATTGATGTTGAGTTTGGCATAAGCTCCATTCACTGGAAGATGTGTTACCTTGCTGGACCAGTTCCTTAATGGATGCAATATACAGCATAATTAAGCAGGAATAAAATAGTCCATCTTGCCTTCATTCCATTTTACCCAAGTAAAATTTAAAAAGAGGGGGAAATCCCTGGCTAATAGACTAAAATATCTAATACTTTATCACAGTGCTACTGTAGATAAGTGTCCTTGAAAACACCTTGTTGCATATATATACCTGCAACATTCTCTTGCTCATTTTGGAAAAATGTATATACTTGCCTTTCTGCTATTAGTTGACTAAATTATTCAGTGTTTCATTTCTCAGAATATCATGCATGCCCACATACATTTATATTTTTTCAAATTAAGAGAACTGTTATTTAAGAAAGAAGCACAAAGGGAGATTATATATCACTGCTGGTATCATTGGGCTCTGAATCAGCAATAATAATTATGTGTTAGCAGTGTTAATGACTGAAGCCCCCTCCGTTTTTAGGGTCATGAGTAGACAACTCCAGCAATATACTTATAGTCTGCCTAGTTTAAGCATAAGGGTAATATTTAAATTGCTATTCAAATAAAAGCTGTGTGTGGCTTAGCCACTTTGTTTAAACGATGCCTCTAAATATATAGATGGGAGATGTTTCATTATACCATTGGCTTCTTATGTACAATTTCACTGCAGGGTCGCAAAAGGTACTTTTAGGGATGGCAATTTCCAGAATTCCCCAAACTGCATGGTCAGTGGGGCATGTTGGCTGTCGATTCTGGAAATTGCAGTCCAAAAAGTAGCTTTTCTCTCACACAATTTCAGGTTTCTTATATCCACCCTTGTATCAGAGATTTCCTGATACATTCTTCTGGAATCAAGGTTCCTGAAACATTCATTTGTTTTCAACATTTGAGGCAAAGAGCTAACATGAAAGTCAACACATATTATGAGCTGTTGAAATAATGGTTCATAAAGCCTTGGAAATGCTGCTTCAAGTTTTAACTGGAAAGCTTAGGATTGTTGTTTGTTTTCACTATCAAGCTTCTCTTTAACAGCTCAAATGTTTTCTGTTTCTCATTTTCTTTTAATTTTTCACATTACTTTTTCTTTTTAAAAAAAACCCAAACAAACATTATTTTACAAGAGTGAGATCCAAACATGGATTTGATCTCTCATTGCTATATTTCAGGTTCCACATAGTTGTGGTTTCCTTTCTTTAAAAGCCTTTGAGTATTATTTCTTTTTATATTTTTCATTTTTGTTACATGTCTGTATAAGCAGCCTGAAGCTTCATTTATATTTTTGCTTGTTTTGCTAAGTGATTCCATTCTCACCCCATGACAAAAGTGAATTCTAACAATGAGATAACATTGCTTATGCACTGGATTCATCTTGTCCCCCTGATTTTCATTAGGTTCCGAGCTCATGCCCAAAGCCCTCTCCACCAGGATAGTGGGAGGCATTTGGTGGTTTTTCACACTTATCATCATTTCCTCGTACACTGCTAATCTAGCCGCCTTTCTGACAGTGGAGCGCATGGAATCCCCCATCGATTCAGCAGACGATTTAGCAAAACAGACAAAAATAGAATATGGCGCAGTTGAAGATGGAGCAACCATGACTTTTTTTAAGGTAAGCCATTTCTAGTCAATTGTGAGTGATGAGGGAGGATTACATGCTATATTTTTGCAGGTGGGAAAGTCACTTTGGTCAGATTACAAATATCACATTTTCAATAGGTTTGCAAATGTTCCATTTATACATGAAAAATAACTGGAAAATGGCCAGCATTCTTTTAGAAGGCTACTTGATTGATGAATAGAATAGTCCAAAAGTAGTCTTAAATATGCTACTAGGATGTAAGCCACATTTAATACAACAGGACTTACTTTTAAGCAATTCATAGTATTGCACTTACGTGTGTTCAAGTATGTCCTCTTTACTGGTCTCGTTTAGTTTTCGAGTCAAAATAGGTTAGGCTGCCCATCTTAGGACCTCATCACATTTACCTTTTCCCCCATTTTAGGATGCTTCCAGGATGCTGGGAGGACAGAGCTCACTGGACCCCATCACATGATGCAGGGCTACTTCCAGTGAAGCTCTGTCCTGGCTCCCTCCTAGATGCTTCCAAGGATAGAACCCAGAGAATTCAGGAGGCCTCCTGAGCTCTCATAGCATAGAATGGGGCCAGCACATGGGGAAGTCAAGTGGTGACAGTTTTCCCCATGGGATTGGGAAAGTGCCAATGTGGGCAATGCTGGGCATGGGGCAATGGTTTGCCCTACTGCCCACCAGATTCACCATGCTGCCAGGCAAATTCCCCTAATTTTGCCGGCTTTTTTGATCTCAATGTGATGATGTCCTTATTGACTTTTATTGCTCAGAACAAATGTTTTTTCCCCCCACTGGGATCCCCATATCAAAACTACATTTTTTATGACTGGCCAGAATGCTAAGATAACACACCAAACGGCCCCTTTTCTTCATAAAGCAACGCAGCTGAGAACTGCATATTTGGAGGCAATTGGGGAAAACTGTAGGGGTGACACAGATATTTGAACTGGATTGGGATTGTGTAATAACTGGTCTTTTTTAACCTTCATTTTTAACTTTTGTGTTATGAAGTTTTACCTTGGCATTTTAATGATGATATTTTTAATTACTTTTAACTTAACTCAAGTCCTAATTGTGTTTTAATGTATGTTAGTTCACTATTACAGGAGTTTTAGGATAGTGATTAGTGTCTATCTGTGTACTTTTTTGTTTTTGTTTTTTAATGTTGATATGGTCAATGGACTAATCAATAAATTTTGTGAAAAATATAGAAAACAGAATTCATGTTTCATTAGAATGAACTTGCACAGCTCTATACCTAAGAAACTGATGAAACATAGGTCTTCTTCCTAAAACGCTGGTAAAAAAGCAACTGACAGGGTATTTGATTTGATCTTTGTCTTTCTTCTGTTTATGCCATATTCAAGTAGAAAATAAATATTATTTCTTGGCTGAAATATACATGCCTGAGATGGTTAACAACAATAGTAATATTGAAAATATTGTGGTAGAGACTTTTATCATGGCTATTTCTCATTTCTACTGTATCTTAAACATGTGTCATTGCTGGTTGACTGCATGAGCTTAAGTTCCTTGGTCATTATATGTTTAGGATTGACCTAACTCTGGCTTGTAAAAGTCAAGTAAATGTATTTGTCAGACCAGATCACATGGTTTTTTTTGTTTTAACTGTTAGAATATCAATTATAATAGAAATATTCAAAAGTAGAATTTTATTTATTTATTTATTTATTTATTTATTTATTTACTGCATTTATATACTGCTTTTCTCACCCCTGAGTGGACTCAAAGCGGTTTCCAACATAATAATGGCAAAATTCAATCCCGTACATATATGTGAAAACCAAAACATAATTTCTAGACAATAACATGTACTATCAATTAAGAACTTTAACCATATTAACACAACAACATTTAGACATTAAAACATAGAGTTGAAACATCAACAATACAATAACATTTACATTTAAAACCAGCCTATTAAAACAATACAATTTAAAGCAATTATTAAAATCACACCATCCAGAATCATAATCCGAAGTTGTTCCATTGGTCCATTCACTATTCCTTATTCTCTTGTTGCACTAAAAACATTGCTATCCGAAAGCTTGGTGACATAACCACATTTTTACTTTCTTCCTGAAGGTCGGGAGGGAAGGGACTGCTCTGATTTCACTAGTGAGGGAGTTCCACAGCTGAGGGGCTACCACTAAGAAGGCCCTGTCTCTCATCACCACACATCACGCTTGCAAAGGAGGTGAAATCAAGAGCAGGGCCTCCCCAGAAGATCTTCATCACTGAGGTGGATCATAGAGGGAGATACATTCAGACAGATACGCTGGACCAGAACCATTTAGTGCTTTATAGGCTAAAGTCAGCACTTTATGGACAACTATATTCAGTATATTTATTCAACAAGCCACATTCCATCACATCTAACATTGCATTCTCTGTTCAGATTGAAAATGTCCAATTCACATTCCTAGAGACTAACAACTAATGCAAATTCTCTCAGAAATCCATGCTCTTGTAAGACTTGTGGTATTTTTTCCCAGAGAAAATATGCAGAAAACTATCCATATGTTTCCAAAATATACACAACTGAAATGCTCATAGACCCTTTCTACTCAGTGCAGAAATACATGCTAAAATGTGTACAAAAGGCCTGTCAAAATATGTATACATTTCCATGCAGTCAATGAAGATCTGATGAATAAACAGGGCAGAACTTAAATGCAAAGGAAATTCTTTTTTTTACCTTTTCATGTACTTTCTTTGTCACAAGGATGATCAGTCATATTCCTATGCTTTTTCAGCCTGCAAGGCTCAACCTATACAGTAACGTACATACTGTACCTAATTACTATGGATCTCATCAGATGCAGGTTCTCCTCCATTTCTGTATACTTAAAGAAAAGAGTCCCACGGAGCAATAAAAGAGTCAAACCATGGGTTGCCCGTGATACCTCGTGTTTAAAGTGTATAGTAATGGGAGGACTGCAAAGTTAGGGACTAATCAACTTCACTGCTCTCCCTGGGCATAGAAACAGTTTAAAGCAGATATTTTAAGGTGGGATGGGAACTGTTGTTAAATTATCTGTTTGCTTTGAAAACCATACACCATGAAATGCCATGCTAAGAAAACAATTCCATCCACTTCCCGCCCCTCCCCTTTGTGGGATACGATTCTACCTCCCTGCTTCCTTTCCTGTATTCTTCATATACAGGAAGGACATATAAATGTGTTAAGTTAACATAAGTTCATTTTATAATGAGTTGACCTTTCTGAGCTGTAAAAGTTTATGACCTTTCTGATCTGTAACACTTTATGAAAAATGAATGGGGTGAAGCATGAGGGAAATTGCTATTTTGATAAAAACTAACAAGAGAGAAAAACGAGTAAATAAATCCTATTTGGTGATTCTATGGAGAGGTATGGAAGAATTTAAATTATTGTTATTCTTTCATTATTTTTTGCACAGCCTATGATTATCCTTGCATTTGGGAACTAGACTAGTTTTCCCTGGTGTAGTTCCCAAATGCTATGAGTTGATTCACCATGTATTTCCAAAATTTTAAGCGAATGTAAGTAATAAATCCTTTGGTTTCCTACATTTTTGATGCCCACAGAGTTATAGCGTTGTAGCAATGCTTCTAGCCCTTTGTATGGGGGGGGGGGGGGGCTGCTGTCAGGCACTCTGAAATTCATAGTTTGTCATAATTCTTCAAAGAACTTCCCCAAGTATCTATTTACAATAGTTTAGTCAATAATAATACAGGGGTGTCAAACTCATTTTCATCAAGGGCCACATCAGCCTTATGGTTGCCTTCAAAGGACCAGTTGTAACTGTAAGACTGTATAAATGTAATTCTGTTGCCTTGGCATTGAAAGCCTCATGGGCTACATAAAATTTATTTATTTATTTATTTGCTGCGCTTATATACCGCAATTCGCAGCCCAGGGGCGACTCCTTGCGGTGTACAACATAGAAAAACAAGTGCAAAATACAAGACATAGTGTAAAAATAATCCACAATTCATCATTATCAACAACATCCTAATCAAAAACATCAACATTACTACAAAAGCCATTCCGTGTCGTCTCATCGTCAAACCCACAATCCGATATCATTTCCGTTGTTCCATTCCTATGGTCAAATTATCAATCATTGCACTTCTTGTTCAAATGCCTTCTTAAACAGCCAGGTCTTTAATTTCCCGCGGAATATCAACAGGGAGGGAGCTAGCCTGATGTCCACAGGAAGGGTGTTCCACAGCCGAGGTGCCACCACCGAGAAGGCCCTATCTCTCGTCCCTGCCAGCCGTGCCTGTGACGCAGGTGGAATCGAGAGCAGGGCCTCCCTGGAAGATCTCAAAGTCCTCGTGGGCTCATAGGCCGAGAGGTGGTCAGTTAGGTATCTTGGGTCGGAACCGTTTAGGGCTTTATAGGCCAATGCCAGCATCATAAAATGATGTGGTGGTATAAATTTGACCTGCAGACCTTCTGTTTGACATGTATAAATTAATACATGATGTCATAATCTGAGAATCATGTCACTAGATGGAAAAATAATGAGTATTTGACCTACAGGTTTTAAAACAGCATGACTACAAAACAATATACTTTACTCCAGTCCTTTTAAAAAGTAATAAAAACCATATAAACAACAGTCTCTTTTGCTTAGTTTGTGGTGTACAAGGTCATAAGGAATGAACTCATTCTTCTTGCACACTATTGGCTTTTTCCTGTTTAGGCTGCTGTTTCAACAGAAAAACACAAATACGTACTAGTTATCATATCATAAAGGCACAATTCTTAAAGATAGACATCTGACAGGTCCAATAAACAGAGAAATAATGATAATATATACATATATTCTCACTTAAGCCTAAAGAAGTGCCTTCAGTATTTGTTATGATTTTTATTATTGTTTCAACTGAATATTGGAGTGATTTTTAAGGTTTGTTAAGGGTCATACAATTTTTTTCACTGCAGAGTTTTAAAAAAGAAATTTGGTATGTTTATTTGGAGGAAAGAGATGCTTGCTGTTCTGGCA